GACAGGGCAGGATTCAATAGGGTTACATTATACTTCTATTGACTAGCTTTTTAGCTATTTTTTTCATGTTCTTCCATTTTGGTAAATAAAGTTCAAGTTCAAGTTCAAGATAATAACAGAAGCTGTTTTTAATTCCATTATTTAACTTTTTATTAAAATTCGACGTTGTGAAAATACAATTTTCATTCTCAAGAAAAACAATAGATGAACAGACTATAATGTAACAACGGAGTCAAAAATATTTATTTTTTTTTGACATCATTTACATACATATTTTTCACTCTCTTGTTACATTATAGTCTGTTCATCTATTGTTTTTCTTGAGAATGAAAATTGTATTTTCACAACGTCGAATTTTAATAAAAAGTTAAATAATGGAATTAAAAACAGCTGCTGTTATTATCGCTGTAGTTTTAAAATTTTTACCCGTTAATAAACGTAACATTAGGTATGATAAAAACAAAAATGTTAAACTGTAATGAGGGAAAAGAGAAAATGACTTATTTTATATATGAAACATATGCATCATAGACTACACAAAACTAAAACATCTGAAAAATGAAAATAATGAAAAGACTACCGTTTGACGAATCGAACGAAGATTTCTTCGACAGCAGTGATTTGGTAGAATGTTGTGAAATAGACTTTTTCATCTACATCATAGGCAATATCATTAAGATATCTCTCTAACACTTTCGTTTTATTTTTCAGTGGGATTTACTGTAGCTTGGACACCATACGCTATCGTTTCGTTTATTTCCAGTTTTATTCATCCATCAATTGTGACACCTTTGGCTGCGACACTACCAGCAATATTTGCTAAATCATCTGTTTGTGTTAATCCGATCATATACGTTCTCACAAACAAGCACCTTAGATCAAAATTCCCATTTTGCGGAAGAAGCATCAGACAACACAACGGTTTGTGTAAATTTTTATAATTGTTTACATTTGCTTACGATCGAAAACATTTGGCTCAATGAAAATTAAAACTCGACTTTGAGATATGAAAATAAAGGAAAAAATTTGTTTTTCGCTGCCTTTTTTACATTAACTCATTATGTCACTTTATTCTTTCCGCACACGTGATATACTTCGATGTGAAAAAACGCTAATATTAGCCTTGAATTATTTCATCGCACATTGTAAACATACGATAGTTAACTGACTGATCAGAAAATTCATTTGGCTCTCTTGGATTAGTTTAATCACAAATTAGTTTTTATTTCGAGAAAAAAAGTCATGGAAATGAGCAAGAGTTAATGCACATGACACAATTAGTCGACACCCAACATGAAAAAGAATTGTCTAACTAAAGGATTTCTCTAACTTTTATCTCGAAGCGAAAAAACGGATGTATAACCTGATTTGTGTCCAATTAGATTCGAAGATTGCGCATGAACGCAAGTCTGTTGAATATAGGTAAAAAACAGACAGAAAAAACGTCTTTTTTAAATCACACAGCAATCGCATGTAATGTGGTCAGAGAACACACTACAGTGTGACTACTCAAAGAAAGGAAGGGTTTTTTGTTCTTGACGAGAGTTCAAGTTGATAGAGCACAATAAGCGAGAAAAAGGGTCAGACTTTGAAATTTTGTCCGTAATTTCACTATTTTCATTTGTCTCTGATAGAAAACATTTAATATCAAACCCCTTCTTTTTTTGATACTTTTAAATACCATTTTTCGATTTCTTTCTTTAGCTTACAACTCGCTCAGAAATAAATTTTGTATCAACTTTTAAAAAGCTTAACAGTTACCGATTTTAAACTAGTATTCAAACATTGATACTAACAACAGAATTCTACATTCAAGTCAATACATAATAGCACGTCATAAGAAATACGTTAGATTTTATTCAAAATTTTACTACTTATATTAGAGATTATTAAATCTATACGAATTTCATTTCTCAACCATTTGGCTTAGTCATGAGAAAGAAAAGCTAATTACTATGGTAGAGTCGTTTCTTTTTTACACACTGGTGTAAAAATGTTCCTCAAAATTCATGGGATAAAAAGAATTGATCCATTGAAACATACGGTCGAGCTGAAAGACACGCTTCCAATATTCAGAATTAAAATCTACCTTTTTTTCCATAAAGTATACTTTAAAAATATACTTTAAAATGAAATTGTCTGAATCATCCGACTGTTTCTGATGCTATAAACTCTTTTCCTATTCGAATCAGTAGAAAATTTTGAATAATAAGAATACATTATTTAGCATAGCAAATGAAAATAAAAAGTCGATTTTCTTAGCGCCAGACGGAATAAGCTCTAATTTTGTAGAAAATATTGTTTATTCTTTGAGATAATAATAACTTTTGAAGGAAGTGTCGAGGTTGTTTCGTTTTTCAAACGTCAGTAGATACATAGCACGCCATCTATACACATTTCCTTCAACAGTTATTATTATATCAAAGAATAAACAATATTTTCTACAAAATTAGAGCTCAGACCGTCTGGCACTAAGAAAATCGACTTTTTATTTTCACTTAATATGCTATTTTATTTTGTTTTTAATTAAAACTATGAATTCGATTATTACTAGAATATAGTCAAATCAATATAGATTTCTTTATATTTAGCAATCAAGAGCCGGTTGTCGCATAATATCTTTTACACTTAGAATATTGTTAGAATTTATTTCTGGAACTCTGTGGATCTTCTTTAAATTGATTCTTTTTTACGGCATCGATGCAAGTGAGTTCCCTCGTGTGTGAGCAAAAGCACCTTATAATATTCTTTAGTAAACATGAAAAGCAGACCAAATACTAGAAACTTAGCAGATATATTTTTATTTGTTTCATATATACCGTTATGTTAAACCTTGTCTACGAAAAAAAGTCAGATATTGTAATGGAACTAAGACAGAAACTTCTTCGCTCTCTTTCCTTTTTCAGGACATGTAGTGCATTTATTACCTATGCGTGAAAAGTCGACAATAGTCAAATCACAAAAGACGAATTCGACTGAACGTTATATGATGACATCATTATGACTCAAGATCACACGGATGGCTCTTATTTCTGACGAAGTACTTTTTTCATGGACAAATTCTAGTGATTGTTGTGATTTTTAGTGGCTAATTGGCTGACAAATTTTTTAGTATATGTTCTATGGACAGATCACGAGGATAACGACTCTTTTTATTATGAATAGTAAGTATTAGAAACATATTTTTTCAGTTTTTCTTCTACTAAAAAAAGGTTAAAAATGATCAGCATTGTTTCAAAATTAAATTCTACTTTGTCTAATATTCATCCACTTATTACATTCTTAATAACAATAATCCCTTTGAAATTTCTGGCTACTAGTACACCTTGTAGTCCGCTAATAAATGCTTGTCCAACAATGTTCATTGATAAATGACTACCTATTTTATCATTTGATAGTAATATATTATTTTCAACATTACGAATAATTAAATCACCATCCATATTTTGTATTTTTGTATCTCCATTTTCTTCTCGAACATCCACATTTGATTGTTGATGATGATAGTTATGAATAATAATTTCACCATATTTTTTTGATATAGTACTTGTTTCATCTAACTGTAGTTCTTTCAACGTCAGCTGTTTTGAACCATGAAATAACTGCAATTTATTGCTTAATTCTAGCGTTTCAAAATCATTTAGTTCCGCCTTAACGAAATTTTTACCACTAAAAACACTTTTTAAGGCTTTATTTAAACTAGCATTAACAGGCTCTTCGATTGTTTGATGATTTGCAGCTATTAAAATAGAATATATGAAAAAGGTCAATATTCATACACAACTCGCTCTGGCCAGCCATCTCTGCTACCGGAGTGAAATTCCGTAACGATTTTTTTGCATTTTGTTTTTCTTATAATGTTTGAGTAACGAGACGCCTAGAGATCTAGAATATCACAGATTAAAGAGAAAAGTGTGCTAAAGATTCTGAAATGTTCCTACAGTCTACACATTCTTTCATTCAGAAACTATGAGAAAAATACAAACACCTCCTTT